AGTGAAGGGACGTGGGTGGTGCTGTGGGTTAAACCACAGAGCCTAGGACTTGCCGATCAGAAGGTTGGCGGTTCGAATCCCCTCGACGGGGTGAGCTCCCCTTGTTCAGTCCCTGCTCCTGCCCACTTAGCAATTCAAAAGCACGTCAAGTGCAAGTAGATAAATAGGTACTGCTCCGGCAGGAAGGTAAACGGCGTTTCCGTGTGCTGCTCTGGTTCGCCAGAAGCGGCTTAGTCATGCTGGCCACATGACCCAGAAGCTGTACGCCGGCTCCCTCGGCCAATAAAGTGAGATGAGTGCCGCAACCCCAGAGTCGGTCACGACTGGACCTAATGGTCAGGGGTCCCTTTACCTTTAAGTGGGACATTCCGGGATCCAGTCAGAAACTGGGATGGCTCCAGGACTGCCCCTGGAAAATTGGGACACTTGGAGGGTCTGCTAATGCTGATGGCGCCTGAGAGAAGGTGGTCAGGTGGCTGTATAAGGCTTTATTGGTCATAAGTAAATACTTTAATTAGACTGCTAAGTTTCTAGGCCATAATGTATATTAGCTAGGGAATCTCTTCCAGATTGTAAGACGATGTAACTGTTAACATCTTCTTACAATATGAAAATATACAATAATTGAGATCTAATTATCAGTATTAAGAAATGCTAATCTTTCTGCCTTGGACACCTGTTGTACTGCACTAATGGCCATCGGTCCATTTTAAGATACTAGTTTAAAAATATGATATAAATTGAAGTTGCCAGATGGCCTATGTTAATCCAGCAGCCCAGGCTCTTTGCCCAAATAGAGTCCTTATCAACGTTTATCCAGGTGAGCGTGGACTATAAGTGGCCTCCCTTCCTTATCCACCTGTGTATTTCCAGGTTCTTGGCAGAAAGGCGAAAGTGAGGCCTGAAGATGGCTCCTGTACGCCATCATCATTTTGTTGTTGTTAAAAAGAAAAAGAAAAAAGAAAGAAAGAAAAAAAGAAAAGCCCTCCTACTGGTAGATGGATCTTGCTCTCATCTGCCCTGGCATGCCTCCAGCATGCCTCCTTTTGGCTCTTCCTATTCCAGAGCTTCAACCTTGGTAGGGTAAGGACCATGGAAGCTGCTCTGGCCGCAGGAATGGAGAGGCTGACATTGGGTCTCCCTTTCTGAGGTTGGAGTCCTCCATCCACCCTGGCAGAAGGTGGCCCTATGCATCCTACGTCCCTTTTGGGGCCTCCTCTCTGGGGCCATTGGATTTCAGGGCCAGCTACCTAAATGGATGGATGTGAAAATGAACCTGTGGAAGTCGATATGAAGTTAAGTATTTGGGGAGTGAACTAGCGGTGTAACTAGAACCAGTGGTAAATCTGGATAGTCAGTTATTCCTTTTTTAAAAAAATTGATTTTTTAGCATAACATTTTTAACAATTATTGAACATATTTTTATATCTTATACACATTTTTTTTACTTCCATCAATCACATCTGAAAATTTTCCAATCTTATCACTTAGTTTACATTTCTTACTTTCACTATTACATTTAAATATAATAACTAATGTCTTTGCAATATTTCATATATTTCTCCTTACAAAACTTCTTGTGATCCTACTAGCGTAATTTGTTGATTACAGTTGCTCTTCAAATAGTTTGTATATTTCTTCCAATCTTCTGTAAATCTCTGGTCCTGCAGGTTTCGAAATTTTATCCAATTCTGCGTAGTCCATTAATTTTGTCTGCCATTCTTCTTTCATTGGTATTTCTTCTTGCTTCCATTTCTGGGCCAACAATACTCTTGCCGCTGTTGCTGCATATAAAACAGTTTAACATCCTGTCTATTAATAGCCTGATTTATAATACCAAGTAAAAATGCTTCTGGTTTTTAAAAAAATGTATATTTCAACATCTTTTTCATCTCATTATATATCATTTCCCTGAAGTTTTTTACTTTCTTACATTCCCACCACATATGATAAAATGTTCCTTCTTTTTCTTTCAATTTCCAACATTTGCTATTTGTCTTATACATTTTAGCTAATTTCACAGGTGTAATATACATCTATACATCATTTTCATCACATTCTCTTTCAAAGCATTACAAACTGCAAATTATATTCTTTCTTTCCACAACTTCTCCCCTTCTTTTAGCTGTATATTATATCCAAAATCTTTTGCCCAGTGTATCATAAGCGATTTCACTTCCTCATCTTTCAAGTGCCGTTCCAGCAGTATTTTATACATTTTAGGGGATAGTCAGTTATTCCTATCTGATATTCCTTTTAAGACAAGAGCAGCAGGGCAACTCAGGTTAAAATGGGATATACCAACAAAGTGTGTTTCTGTGAGTCAGTCTCTCTCCCTCCCTTGAATGTGTGTGTATTGGCAATGGCCCTTGATGCACAAAAGCTCACTAGATCCCACTAGCATCTCTCTCTTTTTTTATAAGATATTTATTAAAATTTTCAAAGTGTTACACAATAAAATAAAAGCAGAAGAAAGTACAGAATAAAAATGGTTAACAGAGTAGAAAAAGAAAAAAAACAAACCCCTTCCAACCATACGAATACAAATTCAAAAATAAGAAAGAGAGACAGAAAAACAAAACAAAAATACACCACAAACAATTAAGAACATTTAAAAACAAATTCATTATTCTCAAATCCTCAACTGTCATTACCTTCTTTCTTTGACCTCCTCCTCCTCCCTTTCTTTGTATCCTAGTTATTAATTATCCCAGCAAATCCTTTCCATATTTCATAATATTCTGTCATTACATTACCCTAAACTGTTTTAATCTTATCTTTCTATAAGAAAATAAACCTTAAAGCTTAAAACTTAAATCTTATCCTTACCAACTTCTCATAACCATAATATTCTTTCATAATTCTTTAAACATCTTTACTAAAGCCGAGTAATTTCATTCCAACATTATTCTGACATTCATCAATTTTATAAAACAGTCCTAATGGTAGAAAAAAGAAATACAAACAGATCCAATCTTCAGCCAACGTCCCTTCCTCCTGGTTCCGGGTTTTGTCAGTCCTTATTATCCCATCGATCTAGCCCATTAACCTGGCAACCTTATATCCGAGGCCCTCAAGTCTCTTCCATGTCCCTTCCGCAGCTCTTCTTCATATTTGTAACTGTATTTTCCCTTGTCTCCTGCTCGTGGTAACTCCAGCTTGGCAATATTTTTAACCCTTCTCGACAGATCAGCCCCTTTTCCATATTCAGCACTAAATTCCATATGGTATTTAAAAGCATGTTTCAAAAACCCTCCAAAATTAAGAGCCCCCACAATCCCAAACATCCCATGGCCCATTGCCAGATTTGAAAAGTCCAAACATCCCAGCATAGGGGGGTCAATCCAGCCCCCCATTTCCAAGCCAAACCAAACTTTTTCTTTCCAAATCTGGCTTTTTCCAAGTTCATTTGTCAAATCCGAAAACTCATATTCCTGTTGGGCCTGTTCTGTCAGGACACACTCCTGGTTTAATTCCTGGGTGGGCTCCACATATTTTCCCACTGTCTGTTCAAAATTTCCCACTGCCCGTTCGAAATTTCTAGTCGAAGTCGCCATCAAATTCATCTTCTCATGTAACTGTTCCAGTAGGGCATTTGTTTTATAGAAAGCACACAACAGAGCTTCTGAATACATTGTCCTGCAAGGTCAAATGCCTATTCCCACGGTTGTAATCTGTAACAGCTGCCAGCTCCCTGGAGTTGGTTACAGTTTCAAAGTCTCCCTCTAGGGGGAAAACTTCTATTTGTTCTTGCAACAAAGTTTCCCTTTTTGAGATACTTTGTCAATATTTGTTCCTTTAAAATGCGAAGGGAAACAGTGGAATTACTATGTTTCTCTTCTTTTAGCTATCTGTCAAAAACGTTTGTCTCTGGGCAATGAACTTCACATGTCAGTCCTGACACCCCGCTCCAGGATCAGGACGGAGGAAAGTTGCTTTGCTTTAAACTCACTTTAAACAGTCCGAAAGAGATCCCCCTTCTTTTCCTGCTGTCGAAGGGGGATTCCACAATTTTAAATGATGAAATCCAGTCCTTTAAAGGCAATTTTCTGAGCACTAGTTTACGTTGTCTTTGCTTTATTCTGTCTACAAAAGAACGGAAGGCTGACTTCCTGTTTAGACCTTCCCGTTCAGTACCAAATTGAAATAAATTTTTAAAATCCAATTCCTTTCTGCTTGCAAGTCCTTATTCAAGGTCCAGTTGTTCAAAGTTTAAGTACTCACGGGTGCTTATATTAGAGTCCAAATTGTCCCAGGAAAAAGGCAGCGCTCTCCGGCAACGGCCATGCGGCTTCGCTCCACGGAAATAGCAGTTGACTCACAGCACTGCGCCTCTTCCCCCTCTTCACTTCGGAGCCCGTTAGTGGGTTCCTTAGCAAGTTGGGGGGGCGCTAAAGGTGCCCGCCGAGTCCCATGGTCACAGGCTTCATCCGCCTGTGATTTTTAAAAGGGTCCCCGCTTTGCCGTAGCGGAGAAGACCCGTTTCCCGCGGAGCTAGTCCCTCCAGTTCAGAGGGAGTCCGCCATTGCCGATGGCGCCACCCCGGAAGTCTCCCCACTAGCATCTCTCAATGGCTGGGTCGCCCACAGTCAGGGCCAGTGAATGAGTTTAGCTTCCACTCCAATAGCAGCCATTCATTGGCATGGGGGAAAGTAAAGGAATGCATTCAATAATATAGTTGAGCTGTAGGCTAAAGCTGCCATCTCTCTGCCCCTGGTGCCTGAAGTAAGAAGCAGGTTCTAGCTCTTCTCAACAGCTTCATGTATCAATTGACTTTGATCTGCATCATCTGGAAACTGACATTTGTTCCATGTGCTACCCGATCCTTTTTGCTGGAGAGGCAGTTGGGGGGTAGGGGTCAGACCTGGTACCGTCATGTGCTAAGCCCCGAAGCTACAGCCCCTCCTCTCAGTTTGTCATGCCAGAGGATGAAGGGATCTGAGAACTGGTGTTTTGGATAGATAGAACCATAGAGTTGGAAGGGACTTCAAGGATCATCTAGTCCACCGGGGATCGAACCTAAAACCTTGGTGTTATCAGCATCATGCTCTAACCAACCGAGCTATCCAGGCGAAATATATATAGATCTGTCCATAATGGCACCTTGATCTTCCAGCACGTGTAGAAACCACATCTGTCCACGAGGCTAACACAGTCACCATGTCAGAGCAGCTTCATATATTGGGACGTTGTTCTGCTGGAGCAGCCACTGGTGTCTTCTGCCCCCACCCCACCCCAAGCGTTTGTTTGGTGGTGCGGTAAACATCCAGACTGGATGCTAATAGCAGCTGCAATACACCAGCCAGTTAAGCGGCTTTGCTTCGTAAACCAATTTATTCCGCGGACATCAACTTCTGACACCTCCAACTTAATTGGTTTGATCTGATTTTTATTGAGTTGATATTTATTTAAATATCTATATATCTCCTTAAAAGTTGCTGTTTGTATGGCAAGTGCCAAACCCGGCAGCTAAGCAGGTCCACTGATCTCTATTTCTGATGTAAAAAAGTTTGTGTGTGTGTGCATACGTATGTTTAAATGTATCCTTCTTCTGTTTTTAATGCCTTTTCCAGGCACTGTGTTTATGACAGAAGATAGCCTGGTATGTAAATGCACCCTTCCAGGTTCTCTCTGCAGAATAATAATAATAAAAGGCTTTAGGAATTGAAATTCCATTTATATTTATCTCAGCCCAGTAAGAGTGGAGTGTTTATTTAAATACTCTGCTGTTGTTCCTCAACACCCCCCCCCTTTCTTTTTAACAACAGGCAGCCCTGAAGTGCAGTTATAAGTCTGTTTACACCACACAGATATCAAATTGACTTGCTAATGGTAACTTTTATTCGGTATCCATGGGTTACTGTGTCATGTGATTTGACATCAAGTACAGACAGTGCTGATTAGTAGCATCCAGTTCTGTCCATCTCTGTGCATCACTGAACCATCTGGTCATTTATTCACTAATAAGCCCCTAATGGCCCAAATATTCACCGGCCTGTCATTGTGACATGGCATAAAATGCCTACATCTTTCAACTTGCTTTGACATGTTGCTTGTTTCACATCAAAACCCGTCATTTACAGGAAAAGAGCTCAGAGGGGTAAAATCTTGACCTAATCTGCAGTGTTAACACAAAGACAGAGGCTTTGTTATGTGGTAGCCTGACTGAAAGCATGTAAATGGGCATGAATTCATTTTGTACATTTTTTCCCCATTCTCATTTTACAACATTCTTTAAGTTTGGTATCATTCCTAATATGGCTTTTTTAAAAAAAGAATCAGAGCTGTGCTTGAAATATCTTTTCTTTATCTGTTTATGTGTTAAACGAAAGCTTCAGAGGGAACTTAAGCTTCACGTATGTCTTGCCATCTTTTAAAAACTAAAATGCCCAGAGGAAAGGTGTGGTTGGGAAGCCAGAGAGTTTTTCAGATTTATTAAAATATTCATGATTGGGCTCACAGAGAGAGCTACATTCTTTATGCTTTTTTTAAACACCAGGCACCAAGATAGTATTTTCCCAGCTTTGGAGAAGTATGATCGCTGTAGTTTAATTTGTCTTTGAGGGTATATCTCATCTGGAAAGTCTCTTCTTATTTGGAACACATGGATGGATGCCCTGAACCTGGCAGTCTTCTCACCTTTTTCAGCCATAAAGTGGAGAAATCCATTACGGGAGAAATGGCAAGGAACAACATTTATTTACCTCTCTCCAACAATACCTACATATAATTTACATAGGTTTGCTTGTGGTTTTTTGTAGGGATTTTTTTTTTAAAGCACCATTAAACTAATTGCTGTTGAAATCTTTATTAATACTTCATTAAAATGTGATTAAAGCATGATGTAATTGATTGTAACTGGAACAGTTAGAGAGGTTTTATGGCCCTGAAGTCGTTGATATGAATGGAGCACATAATTCAAGCAGAATGTTGTAGTCTCTTGGTGAGTGCCTTAAAGGGTACGCCAGTCTACCAAAGCCCTGTTAATAGGAGCCAGTTTTTCTCCTCTTGTTCCTTGAAAGGGTGGTAAATCATTTGTAGCAGGAGCTGAGGGGTAGGGGACACGGGGTGGTGGGAAGTCATTTCAGGAGGGTTGGAGTGGCAAAACCCAGCAAGTCCAAAGTCCCACACTGGGACAGATTCAAGGTCAACATATGGGAAACAGTGCGTTCTTAGAGCATTTGTTGTGATTTTTTTCCTGTTCTTTTCATACCTCGATGGAACTATGGCTCCACATTTATGCAATGGCCATGCTCCAACCTGTTATTTTCCTCCTCAAAGGCAGGTGAAGATGCTCCTCTTTACCCAGGCCTCCAGGGAAAGGTAATTTGTTTTTGTTTTTTGACTGACTTTATTTTCATTTTGTCCCTGCTTCTCTTTGTTTTGACTCTTGACGATGGTTTATGATTGTTTCATTTTTTTAAATATCTGGGATTAGTCCGTTGGAAATAGCGTCCAGGTGGAATTTCCTGAAATTGGTAAAAATGTCCGGGAAAACCTGGGCTTATGGCAGCCCATGTTGGAAGTCTTGTGTTTTGGCAAATTTCCTTAAAAATAGCTCAAAAACTTCATTTTTGGGGGAGATATTGCAAACAAAGTTCAACAACTTTTCCACCACACCCCCAGAAAAGCTCAGCAGCTTTGTTTGTTTCCAGATTTTGACTTTTTGAAATATGGTAACCCTAATATAATATGTATTTATAGACATTGCATATTAGGTATATTGTATATTTAGATGCTTCCTACAATGGTTCTCATCCCTTAGTGTGGTAACAAGGGCTTGTCCTCCTTAATATGTTATTAGATTAGCTTTTCATTTTATTTTGCTCACTGTTTTAAATTTTTTTCCTGGTTTTACATTGCTTTTATTTGTTGCATTCTATCTTGTCATGTTGCTTTGACAAGACTTTGTTTTGTATAAAGCAACTGATAAATGGAAATAATAATGAAGGTTAAAGGTAATGGACACCTGGGTGGTTAAGTCCAGTCAAAGGCGATTGTGGCGCTCATCTCACTTTCAGGCTGAGGGAGCCGGCGTTTATCCACAGACAGCTTTCCGGGTCACATGGCCAGCATGACTAAACCGCTTCTGGCGCAACGAAACACCATAACAGAAACCAGAGTGCACGGAAATGCCGTTTACCTTCCTGCCGTAGTGGTACCTATTTATCTAATTGCACTGGTGTAATAATAATAATAGAGGGATGCAGGTGGCGCTGTGGGTTAAACCACAGATCCTAGAGCTTGCCGATCAGAAGGTTGGCAGTTCGAATCCCCGTGACATGGTGAGCTCCCATTGCTCAGTCCCTGCTCCTGCCAACCTAGCAGTTCGAAAGCACGAAGTGTAAGTAGATAAATAGGTACCACTCCAGCGGGAAGGTAAACAGTGTTTCCGTGAGCTGCTCTGGTTTGGCCACATGACCCAGAAGCTGTACTCCGGCTCCCTTGGCCATTATAGTGAGATGAGTGCCGCAACTCCTGAGTCGTCTGAGACTGGACCTAACAGGTAGGGGTCCTTTTACCCTTACCTTTAATAATAATAATAATAATAATAACAACCACATCACAATAATAATTAAAAACAGGGCTTTTCCTCAGCTGGAACTTGCCGGAACTCAGTTCTGGCACCTCTCAGGTGGGCACCATTGCCACTCTGAGAGAACAAGGGAGGTGTTCATGGTGAGTTCCAGCACCTCTTTTTCTAGATAAATAGCACTGATCAAAAATATTTGTTGTACCCATCTCATATGACCCTGTGTGAAGGACAAGTTATAAATATGGATTCATAACTAAATCAATGTATACAGCAATGTTTATAAGCCCACGTTAAAAAGTTACTATCCTTATTTATATATTTTGAAGAAAACATATTTTTGCCTTTAATATGCATACCTATCACAGAGACCCACAGCAATTATCTAGAAACACCAGTGTTTCTGAACAACGATATGTAGTCTGGAAAAGCAAGGAAGGCACCGAAATTTGTCCAAAATGCTTATCTTACTCTACTTTGTGTATGACCACAGTATTCATGCCATTTGTTATGGCCACTGGAAAGAGGAGTCCCCTTCATTGGTAGGCAGTGGTGGCCACCATTAGTAGACGTTAGTCAAACACGATGAAGGCAATAAATGAGCTGAGCGGCACACTTCGTTCTCTGGGAAGAGACCCAATCAAATTTAAATTTCATATATACATTCCACATTTGTCATCTCTGCAGCCCACTTCATTACCTAGACTAGAGATATATATGCGATGTTAATAAATGCATCCTATGGCTTATGGTTACTGTACTGAATCCTCATTGTTATCGTAAGTGCCTCTCAAGGGTGCCAGCTAACACGCAGAAGACAGTTCAGTACGACGTGGAGCACTTTTATTCCCAGGGGCAAAATAAAGGAATGCAGATAGAGGCACCTGGTATCTGAGGTGGTGGTGGTGAGAGACACAGGCCCTGGCTCCTTTGTGAACTCAGCATCTGGGCTGAGGGGCGAACCCATCTACTTTCTGCCGCAGAAATCAACATGAGTTTGCCTTCCATGCCTGGGCCTGTCAACATGGCCTTAGCTGTAACCTGGGTTCTGTTTGTTGGAAACACAAGAGTGGAGCCCATCTCGGACTTGAATGGAGGGCCATATTCCCCACACGGAGGAAGCCACTTAGCTTAAGCACCACATGATCTCTCTTGTATTTCCATAGCTGTCAACCGTCCCTTATTTGGTGGGAAACTCCCTTATCCCAGCGCCGTTTCCTGCTGCGGTCCCAGATTGATGATATAATAATAATAATACTAATAATAATGATAATACTAATAATTTTTATTTATATCCCGCCCTCCCCAGCCGAAGCCGGGCTCAGGGCGGCTAACAACAAGAAAATAGTACAACATTCTAAAAACATTTCATTATAATAATTAATTAAAATCAAATTGATGGCAACCATTAAGCTAAAGCTAAGCTTTATCCCGTAAATTTCCTGGGTTTCAAAGGAAGCCGCTCCTCTCCCTCCATCCCTGCCGGCCAGGGAGGAGGGAAGCTCCAACTGTGTTGCTTGGCTGCGTTGCTCACCCAAT